CCCCAGATTTATTTTCTTTATATTTCTTTATTTATATTTCAAACTTGTCACCACACATCTCACAGATAACATTCCTTAGTAGACAGGACACATAACATGCCTCTCCTGCTGGATCTGATGGAATGGGTATATGCAACCATGGAGAAGCGGTCCTTCAAATATCCCGGTCCCATGCCACGTAGGGCTTTATAGGTCATTACCAGCACCCTGAATTGCACCCAGAAGCATAATGGTAGCCAATGTAGCTCGCAGACAGAGATGTAAGGTGTGCTGCTCGAAGAGCACACATAACTCCTACACTGCCACATTTTGCACCAGCTGCAGCTTCCAAATGTTCTTCAAGAGTAGCCTCATGTTGTGCATGTTACAGTAATCCATGTGGGAGGTAACCAGAGCATGAATGACAAGAGACTAGAGCCTCCCAGTCCAGGAAAGGACCAAACTGGCACACAACAGGAGCTGTGAGTCCAGGAGGACCCCCAGATTGCATACCATGTCTGTTTGGCCCAGTGCCACTCCATTTAGAATAAGAACCAGAAGGCCAAAAAGCCCAAAGCTACTCAGTCTTGCTAGGGTTGAGCTGAAGCCTGTTGTTCCCCATTCAAATCCCCACAGTCTCCAGACATCAAGACAGGACATCAACAGCATTGCTTAATTTGCCAGGAGCAGAGGTGTAAAGCTGGGTATCATCAGCATACTGATGATACTTCACCTCATGACAATGGATGTTCTCACCCAGCACCTTCATGTAGATGTTAAACAGGAGCAGAGAGTGCATGGAACCCTGCAGAACCCCACAGAACAGGGGGCAAGGGTGGGACCTCTCACAATCAACACTGACTGGAACTGGCCTTGGAGGAAGAAGGAGAACCAGGACAATACAGTGCCACCAACCCTCAACCCCCTCAGCCAATTCAGAAGGATACCTCAGTTGATGGCATCAAAGGCCATCAAGAGGTCAAGAAGAGCCAGGATGGATGCCCTACCCCCATCCCACTCCTGCCAGAGGTCATCCTAAAGGGCAACCAATGCTGTCTCTGCCCCATACCCAGGTCGGAAACTAGACTGAAAGGGGTCCAGATAACCCATTTCATTCAGGATCCTCTGAAGCTGTTGTGTGACCACCTTTTCAACAATCTTCCCTAAAAAGGGAAGGTTGGATACTGGATAAAAATTGTCCAGTATAGTTAGGTCTAGCAATGGCTTCTTGAGAAAAGGATGAACCAGTCCCTCTTTAAGGGGAAGAGGGACAACCTCCTCCCTCAAAGAGGAGTTCACCACCACCAGAACTCAACCACGCATCACCTCCCAGGAGGCTTTCACTAACCAGGAGGGACATGGATCTAACGGGCAGATGGCTGAACTCACAGTCATGAGTTTTATCTGTCTGCTTTATCAGGCCCAAAAGGATCAGATTCATTCCAAATATCAGGGCAAGACTGTGGCCTGGGTACCTTCGTAGGACCTGTACCAAGGCTAGAGTCCAACTAGTGATTTTTGAGTGATTAGTGATTTGAGTGATTTTTTCCAACAGATGCCTCACATATTTCTCTATGCAGCCCTGTAGGTGACCTTCTGGGGCCTCCTTACCCAGGAGGGCCCAAGCCACCTTAAACAGGGTCACTGGGCAGCTATCTGTGGACGCAATAAGAGCAGAACAGTTCTGACGCTTCACTGCCCTTACTGCCACAAGTTAGGCCTTAATAGCGGCTCTAACCCATGTTCAGTCGAGTTTGCTCTTTGTTGACTTCCAGTGGTGCTCTAGATATCTTTTCACTTGCTTCATCTCCCTCAATTCCTCTGTAAACCAGGGGGCATGATGGGATCCACGGACAGAAAGAGGCCGCATGGGTGTGATCTGATCTAAGGCCCCTGCTGTCCTTTTGTTCTAGGTAGCAATTAAGGCCTCCATTGGATCATGCAGCAGGCTATCAGGGACAACCCCAAGCTCCCTCTGAAACCTGATGGAGTCCATTAGTTGTCTGGGACAGACCAATTAAATTGGTCCCACCGCCCTGTGTTGAGGGGCAGCACCAGAGAACTCCATGATTACAAGGGGACCGTGACAGGGGAGTAACAGAAAGCTCCCCCAATTCCAGATCACATTGCCATTGCTCTGACAGAAAAACCAGATCAGGTGTATGACCAGTGTTATGCATCAGGCCCTGGATGATCTGGGACAAGCCCAGAGCTGTCATGGTAGCCATGAACTCCTGAGCTACCTCAGATCCCACCCCCAGAGCGCCACTGGAAGTCAACAAAGAGCAAACTCGACTGAACATGGGTTAGAGCCGCTATTAAGGCAAATTGAAGTCCCCCAGGACCATAAACCTGGGAAACTCCACCACCAACCCAGTTATGGAGTCAAGGAGTTCAGGCAGGGAGCTTACTATATAGCAGGGAGGCTGGTACAGTAGCAACAATCCCAACTGATCCCTAGAGCCCAACTTAACGAACAGGGTGTCACATCTGGAAATCTGTGGAGTAGGGTGAAAGCCTCTCAGATGACAATCACCACATCCCCTCATAAGTAGGCAACTGAAAACCAACTTGCTCTTTGCTCACCTGTTGCTCTTTGAATGGCTAAAAAATTACCTTTGGATGATTTTGAAAGAGAAATATGTGTCTGACCTAAATATATTTCTTAAAATTGATGTATTCATTTATTTTAAGTAAAGCAGCTTCTTAATAATTAAAAATGCAATTTGCAATTCAAAATTATAAACACTTAAA